ATACTGCTGTCAATAAACCCAAACCAAACTCAAATTCACTGATTAGGAAGACTTTACAGCTGGAACAGATAAGCACTAGTGGTTCAGCACACCTTTAAGGGAATGTGTAGTTATACTGCCTGTCTTGATTGTAGAGTGCAAATATGTAGGGGAAACTGGTATATACTAAAGATATATTTACATCTAATATACATCACACACACACACACACTATATACTCTTTTAGAAATCATATGTAATTAATAAACTGTATATGTGATCATAAAGTCTTTTATAGTCCATGAGTTGTATACAGGTGTCAAGTGATAAATATAATAGATGTCAAAAGTAATCAACAAGAAAAGTCGTCTACCAACAAAGAATTACCCATAGTTCTACGTACAAACTGTTGAAGCCATAGGAGGAAATACAAAAAAGTGAACTAAATATACAACTGCATACACAAAACTACATAGAACTGGGCACACATGGATATATGACTGGTCAGTGGAGCCTAAATGGTGTCTTGCAAGTCCATCAGTTGCTGTAAAGAGAATTCAGAGGTTAGTTGAGGAATTAGCAGCAGTGTGTGTTAGTCTGTTGTTAGATTGCAGACAAAATGGTAAAGGGACCACGTCAGTGATGAGCTCGAGGACTGAAGATTTAGCAGTTTGTGGTTGAGGGGCTTCCTGTTTACTCCTCACAGTCCAAAGCTGAGCACCAGGCCACTTCTGTTCAGCCGACCTGAGAACAACCGAACATGATGCATTATGACGGTGTCCTGCCCGTAAACTACAGGGTCTAAAAAAATAATCTGCACCATGAGAATAAAAATACTTCCGTTGTTCTTAATCTTTAAAAAAAAAAAAAGAAAAAAAGAGGGCTTTTGCTGGCTCATTCTTGTTGACAATATCCTAAACTTTGAGGAATGGAGCTAACAGACTGTGCTGTAACCTTTATTTTAACATTGTTCTTTAATATTGACTCTTCTATGATTGTATTGTTTATGGACTCTATTATTCCTGTTATACTGTATTTTAGGCTACAAAGCTGTTGAAAATATGTGGAAAAAACCCCCCAGCTGTGCTGTCATGGTGGGGGATCGGGGAACCCAGGTGCAGACACAGATCAGGCACCGACAGGCAGGTTAAATCAGAAAAGGGGCAAAATTACAAAAACCTACGAAACTGTAAATTAACACCAAGGGGGAAACCTAAGGAAAGCAATGTCAGTAAACTAAGCTAAACCAACAAAATGGGGATAA